GAAGACAATAGAAAAAAGAAGAAACTTTCGGAAATTTTCTATTTTTTTCGATAAAATATAGGAAAAATAAGAATTTTTAGGAAAATATACGACAAAAATAGGACGTTTTTGAAAATATAGGAATTATAGGAAATATAGGTCGAATCGCAGTCCAGCCCATATCTCAAAATAATTTAGCTGGGAAGCGGCCCATCACTCAAAAAATCCTAGCTACGCCACTGATCGTTAAATATAATATATGTTTGTCTGTTCATAGAAAATATAGACTCGCATGTATATAATATCTCAAAAATGCAAAGCAAAAGATAAATGCCTATAGAACTATTTTGATGGAAAAAATCTCATTTTAAACATAACAAGACGCTATGATATAATTACAAAAAAAAGAGCATTAGAGAGAACGATATGCTATATTCTTTCTATAGAATAATCTTCCAGTATAGAAAAAACTTATGCTGAGGAATTTCTAGAAAAAAAAGAATGATCTATTCAAAGAATTTTACTCGATACTTTCGAGATTATTTCATATACTAGCTATACTCGAGAGAGAAAGAGAGAGATCTCTTTTTATTCTTATGTTTTCTCTTCTAGTTAATATTCCTGATAATGCCAAATGGGCACAGAACGGAGTGACTATTGCTGGGGGTCACGGGGAAGGGAATGCCACTAATCAACTCAGCGGCCCTTGTGGTCTCTTCGTTGATGATGATCAAACAGTGGTCATTGCTGACCGCTGGAATCATCGTATCATGCAATGGAAGAACGGTGATACAACGAATGGACAAGCTGTTGCTGGTGACAACGGCGCAGGAAAGGGATTACATCAGTTGGCTTTTCCAACTGATGTATTAATTGACAACGAGACGGATAGTCTCATTATTTGTGATCGAGGGAATCGACGAGTTGTACGATGGTCTCGTCGTAGTGGCACAACACAAGGTGAATTACTCATCGACAACATCACCTGTTCGGGATTAGCAATGGATGAGCAGAGATATCTCTACGTTTCTGACGAAGGAAAACATGACGTAAGACGATATCAATTGGATGAGAAGAATTACACTCTCGTAGCTGGTGGTAATGGCCAAGGTGATGGTCTCAATCAACTCAACTACCCGACATATCTCTTTGTCGATCGACAACAGAATGTATACGTATCAGACCACTTGAATTATCGTGTAATGAAATGGAACAAAGGTGCAAAAGAAGGTATTGTGGTCGCTGGAGGACAAGGGAAAGGAAATGCTCTGACACAATTGTCTGATCATCAAGGAATCTTCGTTGATACGTTTGGAACACTCTATGTAGTAGACACGTGGAATCATCGTGTAATGCGCTGGACTCAAGGAGACAAGAAACAAGGTACTGTAATTGTGGGTGGAAATGGTCAAGGAGGAGGAGCAAATCAGTTCCAGTACCCCATTGGTTTGTCTTTCGATCGACATGGTAATCTCTATGTCGCCGATGAGCTTAATAGTCGTGTTCAACGATTTTCTATCGAATAAGACTTGCGAATTGTTTTTTCTTTGTTCGTTTCTTTTTCTATACTTTGAAATAAATGAACAAGAAAAAGAATTTTTCTTTTACTCTCTCGCTTCAAAGAAAAGAAAAAGCTAAAATATAAGATTACGTCATGTTTCTTTTCTTCTTCTCTTATTTATTTATTTGTTAAATGAAAATTTTTGCTTTGCTTACCAGCTAATAGTCGCTCGCGCGACCAAGAACTACCTTGGTGATGACATAGAGAGCCAAGGCTCTTCACGTCCCCGGTCGAAGAAAACGATCAGTAAACGGTCGTATACGATACAAATACGGCCCGGTTTACGTGTCGTATTTTCCCCGTATATCATGGGCAGTAATACGGTCGTGTGTCCTATAGAATACGATAATATTACGCCGGCTTTACGAGGTTTTACGGCTGATATACGGTGTTCGTGCATGGCGGTAATACTGCCCCTGTTAAAACCCCTTAATTCGGCTTAAAACGGCCGTTTTACGACGGAATACGATGCAAAAACGACCGTTTACGGTAATGTTACGCCGGTTTACAGTGGTCTGTTTTGATCGACCTGGGATGATTTAGAAATAAAGTTATTAACTTGATAATGTGATAGAAAAAAAAGACACACCATTTGAATAATTCAAACTATGACTTAAATCAAAAATTCTAGTGACTTCGGAGCGAAATTTTACATTCGATAATCTTATCGAATGCCACGCGATAAACGTATGCTTGTAAGTAAGGCTAAATTAAAATATTCTACTTATCTGCAAACAAAGACGTGTGTTCTCCATTGTAATCTTACAGTACAACAAAAATGAATTCTCAAAAAAACTTTATTCGATTGCCGAATACTGCAAGCCAAAGATCCATTCGCCGATTTTACGGCCTTTGAAACTAAGATTTAGATTTGATAATGTAATACATAGATAAAAAAAACATTGTATTGCTAGAAAGTAAATTTATTTTAAATACACAAATATATATGCAATTTTAGACAAACGAAAAAACATACACAACTAGAAAGCAAATGTTTTGCTATATCTTCCAGCTTTGCCTTTCACTCTTGGTTGCCAATGAATCAATTGTGAATTAACAACAAGAAACGTTTTTGCGTGTAATTCTTGAAGACGAGCTTCAATACCTTTTCTTGATGCACATACGAAATGACCTTGACGCCAATATTTAATAAAACCATACGAACTCAATGTTTCAAGGCAGTTCTCTGTACTAATACTTGTTATAGCACTAAAAGAAAAAGAAATGCTTTGTTTCTAAGAAAAATAAACTTCCTTTCGGTACTTTACCTTAATTCATCTACTTCGATTTCTGGCTTTTCTTTAAGTACATTTAATAGTGCCCATGTCCAATAACTTAAATACGCTTTATGTCCCAAATCACTCACAGGTTTTTCTGGGCCGCCAACAGCATTTTCTAATTTGGACAATTCATAACCTATAAAAAATAACTTCAAGTTTTAATGAATAGGATCAATAATAATTAAAATATCTAAACTATTTCTGGAAGTCATAATAATAACTTTTTAGGTTTCAACAAGCCTTTGAAGTATATAACGTTTATATACATACTCAAGAGGATGATGGCATTATTTTTTTGCAATAAACCATAATTTACGACACCAAACACATTTGATATGTACTCAGAATTGTTTCGAAAAATTCAAGAGTAACTTTGCAAGATCCTATTTTCATTCCAGTGATATGATATTTCATTTACTTTAATTCTCGATTCTGTGAAAATCTCATACTTTAGATTAGTTTTTATTCTATCTGAGAGCTACCATCATGCCTTCTATAGACTCATTTTCTGATTTCTTTTTTTTTCATTGAATTTACTGATAAACAGTCAATATTACCCTCGTAGCAAACGCAGAACATAAACGAGATGATTGGTACATGAAACTTCATCACAGAAAAGACTTGGTTCTTTTTATTTTATGCACAATTATTTTTTTGAATATTTAAAATATGATACTTACTAAATTGAATTAATAATTTTCCATATCCTTTACGTTGATAAGGTGGTAGACATAACAAGCAAGATAGATTATATCCAAACGCTGAATCTTTTTCCTTTGACAAATAGACAACAATTCATTAAATTCTCTTTAAAATATTATTAAGCAAAAATTTTACTTTAGAAAAATATCCAATGAAACGTTCTTTTTGATTATTATCATTATATTCCATAAGTACATAAAAAAGAAATTCTGATACATTAAAACAAATAACTTTCGATTCAAGAAAAAGCCGAGCTAATAGACATAAATTTTGACAATATAATTTATTCTGTGCTCCATCGACTTCATATAATGCACAACCAATTTTTGGATCTCGATAAATTTCGATGCCAGGTGGTCGCCTCAATGAACATTCTGCCTATAAGATAAAATCAAGCTGCTAAATGCTATTTAATAAAATTCAATCATTACCAAATGACGGCTATATGTTGTTTTAAGACGCATATATTTCATACAATGTTCACATATATATAATAAACGTTGTTTACCATATTCATCAGGAAATGGTGAATGATACCAACAATCCATTTCATATTGACCAACCCAGATTTTTTCAATATATTTTACCTTAATAGAAAACAAAAATTTTGATTAATATTTTCTTTTGTTTTACTTACACTTGGTTTGTAATCTTTTCGTGCAATTTGATCAGCAGATTCGAAAGGAGATTCATGAGAAAAATCACTTGGATCCTACGAAAATAAAACAAGACTTTAAATAAACATTCATACAATATGATCAACATACATCATTTAAACGACGTTTTAAACGTGCTCGTTTTCTACTAGTTAAACTATTTGTTGAATCATTTAATTGTTCATTTGTCATTTCCATTTGTTCATTACTTGCATTTCCTGATAATCGACTTTCTGGTATCCATTGATCATTACGATGATCAACTAGAAAACAAAAGAATATAAACAATGCGAAATTTAGTCAAACTAGAAATCTTTAATTACAATTAAGATAATGAACAAAATATTCTTGCTGATCAATGCCATCAACAGTACGAGTTTCAAGGATTTCAGCCGCATCTAGATAAGTAGTTTGATACAAAGAACAGTCTAAATTTCAACTCACGAATAGCGCCATTATTCATTCGAACAAAGAATGTATCACCTGGCTTAGGAGAATTCGGAATATTTGAGTCGAGTTCCATGACTAAAACTTCTATACAACAAATCTAGAATAGAAAAAAAAGAATCAACATCATTTCATAGAGGATATTCAACAATAAACTGCGAGAGTTAGACCTTGTTGAACTAAAAATTTCGATAAATCTTTCTTAAACTCAGAAAAAACTTATTCATGTATTTACTTAAAATTCCCTTTCTATTAAAAAATATCATAGTGAATCTAAGATTACCGTTAATCTATGCGTATATGTTTGGAACGATGCATTTTTGCAGTCTAAATGTTCAACTTACTAAATAGTGATATCATTAGTTAACGATCATATTTTGATAGTGTTGATATATGAATAACATAGCAATTCCAAAAGTCAGTGACTAATAAACTAAGGCAAAATACTATTTATTTTTCAAAAGAAAAATTCTCACGTTATAATGAAGTCGGATCTGTATCAGAAAAAAAAATTTTCCTATGAGCTTATTTCGTAAAACTGGTTAACAACATAATAAAATGAATATTTTTATTTCCTGCTTATAAAAGTATAGCTTCGCTACCACCATAGATATAATCCACCACGAATATGTTCAATAGTATAATCGTGAATTAAATTCTCACTTTTGATGAACGTTTCTATTTTTTTAGTAGCTTCATGATTCACATTTAAAAGAAATAAGGAGAAAAGAGATTTGAACTTTAATAATAAATATTGCAGAATATCGTCAAGATTATTTTCGTCAATACCAATTTCAAGATATTGTAGATAGGGAAATAATCGAAGTAAAAATTGAATATGTTTTATGTCCCATTCATCATCATCATCTATGATCAATTTCGTTATTTTATTGTTACGAGACGATAAATTCACAGTTGTATTATGTTTTGAGTGAAATAATGAAGTGTTTGATAATGATAATGATTGAAGATTTGGTAGAAGACATAAAATTTTAGATAATTGAATAATCGATAAATTATTATTTTTAATATCTAAATCCGTAATTTGTATTAAGGGAACAAGAGAATTAATATTTTTCATAAATGATGCATTTTTTTTGATAGAATTATTTTTCAGAGTAAGTTTAGTAACTCTTGAAAATCTTATTGAATATTTATCAAATTCTACACAACGATGAATAGTCAAATGACGAGCAAAATTAATACTATTGTTTTGAAATGATTCGCATATATCATTATGAAGTGGTTCATATAATGTATAATGATTTGACCTTACAAAACAAAATTATTTTCTGTTTATTAATTAAACTTGATCGAAAATACTGATAATATTCACCTGTATGAAACAATGGAAAAAAAAGTCAAATAATTTAAATCATCACAGCCATAAGAATGATAATAGTAATCGAAAGACCATTGTCGGTCGATCCAAAATTTTGAATGAAATGGAGCAATTAAATTTAGTTGGCAACATTCATCAATTAAACCAGTATATTGTAGATCAAAACTATGTAAACAAGGCATATAATTCAAAATTAATTCTTCCCATTGTTCTGCATGAAAAAAGGTTTCATTATTAAATATTTTTATTCTTAATTTCTTCAATTTAAAACTAATTTTTGATGTTAACAATAATTTTAATTCATTAAATGATATTCGATATGGTGTTAAACTAATGCTTGTTAAATTCTCTGGTATTCTTGTTATGTCTATATATTCAGAGCCAGACAACTGTTCACATGCTAAATGATGAAGTTTCGGTACATAGGAAAGAATAGAAATAAGTTGATCAAGACGGCAATGACCATTGAGAACTAAACATTCAAGTGTTTGACATTGATCGATAGCCAATGGTAATGGTATACGTTGTCCACCGGATGGAAATGTTAATTTACAGAATTTTAATTTTGCTAAACGAAATATTGCAAGATAAATAGAATTTTCATCTTGAAAATAATCAGATGTTTGAATTGTAAGAGAAGAAAAGTTCGCTAAACAATTTAAATGATTGATAAGTAAAAGAATTTGATAAAATTGAATTTGTTGAATAGTTAAACACTGAAGAGAAGGAAATAAATTCAATGGAAAATATTCAAGAAAATATTTTGATATATTCAATGAAATTATTTGGCTTCTACGCGTATAGATAATTGATTTGTATTGATTTTGTAGAATAGATTTTGATATTGAAGATAATTTTATTTTTAATCGTAAAGATGTATCAATAAGCAATGATTGAAAACGTAAATTCAGTTTAGAGAAAATTTCATAGATATAAAAATAATCAAAATAATCAAAAATTTCATATATCAATTCATTTGATAAATCTTCAAATTGTGTTTTTAATAATCTATGAGAAGAAATTCGAAATAATAAAAGAAAAACAAAACGATGAAATCATAGGTTAGAACTTTTACTTTGTTTTATGAACAAGATTCTCTTTAACAAATTCTATGTTTTGTCGACGTTTCATCATTCATTAGTCTAAAACATGTAACTTTTTCTTTATTTGAAATATCTATGATTTCTTTTATTTAATTTACAAACGAAAAAAACAAGGCGAGCATTAGTGTGTGTATGCGTTTTTTTTATTCTCTTTCTATGTATATAAAAGAAAAAAAAACATACAAGAGAGAAGAGTTATGTATCTGACAATGTTCTCACTGTTTGAATACAAGAAGTATCTGACACAACAAGATATTGAATTTGTTTTTTTTTTCTTGTAACTTTAAAATTTCTCTTCATAATGATCAAACGGCTGTAAAGAAAATTGAACAATCGATTCCAATACCCATTCCGGACTAAGATAATTAACACCATTTGCACGAGACCTTTCGAGTAGGTGTTGTTGCTTCGACGATTCGAATGGAAGTAATTTATCACATAAAACAATAGTTAAAATTGAAGGATCATTTGGAGTTGCTATTGGAAGTGTATTGAGAAGTGTACCATTGCATAAATGTATTAATGCAGCAAGTTCAGTTTTAGACTAGAAAAATAAGATTTTTCACAGTTAACAAAAATATCGATAATTATTTGTGGTTAATCAAAATTTTGCAGTTAGATTGATTAAGCGATGAGAAAGATCGACTTGATAATTCTAATTAACACGAAATATGTGATAATAGTGAATGTTATGGTTAAGTACTTGATTTAATGCGTCTCGAAAATTTTTCTTAATATGTTAAAGTTTTATAAGCAACTTCACGACTAGAAAGAACACACAAGTCAAATAAGGATAACTGTTTTACCTCTAAAATCGAATATATAAGTATTTTTGCTTCACTCATAATTGTACAAGATATAACCTAGTGGTCTTGTTCCAATTTCCATGTGTAGAGAACAGTCTCGTTAACAATGGTAATTTGTTGGCAAAAATATAATATTGCCATCAGATGATATTTTCTAGGTAATCCCACTAGTCAAAATGACTGTCCTGAGAGAACTTTACTACAAGTTATTTATAGTCGTCGAATAACAAAAAATTTAATATTGAACTGGAAATCAACTTTTCCGATCAGTTTTTACTTACCATTTTTTCTTGGCATCCATCGCATAAAATAAAAAATTGACAATGTTGAAATAAATTTTGATGTTTCGATAAGCGACTATGACGCATTCCATCGTGATATTCACCAAAAGGAAGATCACCTCGTATTTCAAATAGAGTGGCATCAATTAGCTGATTTTGCTTCAAACATTCACTAATCCATCGATGCGTTAAAACAAACAAATGACGAGCAATTGCTTGAAATAGTTTTATTGTCAACGGGCATAGTAATGGTTTTTCTTCATTTCCAACAATAAGATGTGTTGTGTGCTCATCAACACAATTCGATAATTTTATTTTATTTGGAAATAATGATACAAAACGTTGAATTTCAATCTAAAATAGTAAATAATAGTAAAAAAAGAATCTTGTATCTCTTTCTTATGTCGACTACATACAACTTGTTCATATGTCAAACACGAATATGCCATAACAACATGTTTCTCAGTTGATGGACAAGCAATAACATGATGAGAAGCGTATGTATCTTCATGATTTCCATCACTTGTATATTCATTATCAAACGATGTTGATAACTCTATTCGAACGAAAATAATATATAGTTACATATAATAGAATCACTCAATTAATCATTAGTAAAACTTTTTCATAAACTCTCAGATTTCATTAAAACGAATGATCCTATGAGAAGACAAGCTTAACTAGAATCAAAATTGATTGTTAACTTCTATGAATATGTGAAGACGTTTTCTCAATTAATAAAGCATAATAATTGTCAGTCGTAATACTCATTTTCAAAATATTGAATAAATGAAAAATTCGTCTAGGTTTCTTTACCATTAAAAGATAGATTTTGTGTTGAAAGTGGTGGCGATAACGTATCATCAAGATGAAATGAATCATCTTGTTGTTTTTTCTTTTTCTTCTTGGAATAAATATTTAAGGGTAATTTATTTTCTTTTCTCATTTTAACACGAGCATTTGTAAACCAAACAGTAATTTGTGATAAAGACATTTTAGTTTTTTCCATTAGCTCTTGTTTATCAGTTTCGTTTGGATCTGGAAAAAAAACACAAAAAACATGATAATACTAATTATAATATGATAATCACATACATGGATGATGCTGATGTTCAAACAACCAATGTTTTAATGGACCTGTTGAATTTTTTTCTCTACCTGTTGTATTGAATAGAGTTGATAATTTATCATCTATCATAGAAAATAAAACAAAGATTCATTATGTGTTTTCTTGAAAATCTTTCACTTACCATTTGAATTCTGCGTTGATAAATCAGGTTTATTCGCCTTACAATTAGATTTCTTATTTTCACCAAATGTTACCGGTGTTGTATCATCGAATAACATCTCGTCTTCACCAGTACTCGAAAACGATTGTTGATGAAGCATATCGATTAGCAATAGACTGTTTCTTTTTTTTTTTTGAATGATCGTTTAACTTAAACGAAACAAGAGATCATTCGAACGAATACAATAGAGTTCAAACAGAGGTCAGTACATTTTTCTCTTTTCCTGCGTATGGTGATTATACGGACCAATGAGAAAAGCTTTATGTTATATGTTTAGTTTATAGTTGTTGTCATTTTGTTTTTCTGTACGATAAAATGGGCCCTGTTGAAACGAATCCATTAGTATCACAACAACAACAACAACAACAACAACAACAACAACAACAGCAACAACCTCAAAAATCAAAGCGAAGATCCCATTCAAATGAACGACTTTCAAGAGAAAATAGTCGACAAAAATCTCGAAGAACTGCTCGTTCAAGAAGTAATGATCGAGAATCATCGTCTTCGAGCAGCGGTATAATACAAGAAATCGATTTTTGTTCGACAAAAAGAAACATTTGTATTTCAGATAATGATCGTGAAGACGACAATGAAAGTATGGATGATGATGATGATGCGAGTGTGAGTGATCGAAGTTCAAGAGGCGGCTCAGCAAATAAACAATCAGCTGGAATTCGATGGGATTTTCGAGTAAATCATCAAATATTTTCTCCTATTTGATAATAATAATTTTTATTATTTAGACGAATCTTATTGGAAAAAGAATCAAAGAAACAAAACCATTGTGCTGTCTAAGTTGTCGATATCCTGTATTACTGGTCGGACGATTAGTAAGATATTTACTATGAGACAAACAAGAAATTTTCTTACTATGATAATGTTTTAGATGCCTTGTAAACATGCAGCTTTTTGTTTACAATGTGCCAATAAATGTAAAAATGATCGTAGAAACTGTCCAAAGTAATGAATTTCATGGTCTATTTTTTAATTGAGACAAAATTCTATTGTTTTGTTTATAGATGCAATGATGCAATTACTGATGTCGAAAAAATTGAAGCAAAAAATCTTATTCTTTGTTATCATGGTGCACATCTACACTCGCAAGATGCTTGTCTTCGAGGTTATACATCGTTACGTGATCTTCAAGCGCATGTACACCGACGTCATGAACAACCAACTCAAACAGGACAATCACGTTTGGATTCTCCACATCAATTACTGCCTCCAACACATTCACCATTGACTACTTTTCCTGGTCTTGTGGTCGATGCAACACAACAATCACAAGCAACTCAGTTACCTCCTCCACTGATGAACTTTCCGCCAATGAATGTTTCGAATATGGCACCACCGCCATTATTTGACATGGGCTATCGTCCACCAAATTATGGACTACCACCACAACAACAGCAATTTATGCCTACACAACCACAGTATCGACCTCCACCTTATCCACCTAATCGATCATTCTATTAGTCTATTGTATTCTATATATATTACCTATCAAAATCTGTTTCACTATAAATATAAACGAAAAAAAATCAACGAAAGCTGATGCATATACAGAAAGGAAATAATAGTAGCGAACTAAGATTTGCATGTTTAAATCAATATTCTAGATTATATCAGAATAGATGATATATAATCTATTATTATAATTATTAGTAGTAGTATTAGTATAATTTTTAACTTCAATGAGAAACAATAAAACATCGGATACGTTTCCATAAACATGACCGTTCTTGGATACTGTATTAAATTTACTAGAATCATATTTCAAATCTCATCATCTTTTCCGAGGAGTTTTAATCGGAAAATTCTAGTGCTATAGTTCATTCATGGCCTTCATATTTGAAATATCTATGTTATAGCTTACATTTAGGTATGAATTCACTATTCCGGAGTGTTTGCAATACTAAAATTTTAACCCTATGGTGATTTTGATATTTGGAATTGTTTGAATGTTTATAAACAATAATTATTTTCCATCAATACTTTATATTCATTTACTAGTCAAGACATAAAGAATGATCACAGTACTTGAGGAATGTAGTCAATCTTCACAGATTACAACCATGCTGAAAATACTATCATATAATGAAATTCGCAACGCCTTGTCTTGTTAGAGTTATAGTATTAAAATCAAATAACAGACACTACTGATCACTATTCATTCTCTGCACACATCAGTAGCATTCAAGTAACTTCGTAACCTGAAATCCATACGAAGAAACTAATAATTTCGTTCAACAATATGATTTTTCTTTCTACCAGTTACGCATTTCAAAACATGAAGACGAATTTCTAATGCTGATACAAAATAAAGGAACTCATGTCTAATATTTTCTGCTGAGAAAAATAAATACTAGAAGCCAGGAAAGGGTGAAAGTATCCAGTATACTGTCTTGTAAGTACACTACTATAAGTCTACTGATCATTTGCGAAGATATGTATAATCCATAAGCTTTTTTCTTCACTAGAACCAATATTTTGATATTTAACTGTTCATTCATCAAGACAGATATTTCAAAAAATTTCCTTTTTGCATAACTCTTCAAGTACTATAAAAACATCTTAATTCTATGATAACTCATGAAAATAACTTATTTTTATCAATGTAAATCCAACGACATTCTCTACATATCTAACTTTCATAAATTCTGGGTATATTCCTTGTCCATGTCAATCTTCTCATTCGTCATGTTATTTTCACGACTTTTTGTTTCTTTTTTTGATTGATGAATGCCAGCAACATATATATATATATTGTCTATGTTTTCTTCTTTCTCTCAGTCGTTTCTCATCCAACCAAATGTATACAAATCCATATAACACAAACATTTACAAAAGAAATATTTTATTAAGTAATAGTATAAGGAAAAGTTTATCGGCAAATAAATGAAACATTGACTTGATTAGTTAAACTCTTAGAATTGAAATAGGCTTATAGCTTACTTTGATTGATCATTAATTGGTGTCATGATAATCTATTCGAAGTAAAATTAGATATTCTATATAAATAGAGAATCATCCTGTTCATTTGCTAAAAAATACTATGAATCGATCATATAAGAAACAGTCGTCGTCATCATCATTTGACAAATTTGTTGCATATCTTCAACGTACAATTTCTTCGTCGATAAATAACAAATCATCAACTTTTATTATACACCAACAACGGGCAACCCGTACTGGTGTATGTAGTTTTTGTTAAAGTGCGACAGCAACAAAAAAATTTTAAATTATTAATTTTTTTCTAGTTCAATACAGTAACAAGTCGTTTTCAATTATCTGATATACTTTACAAACCATCACGATCAATTGAATATCTTAGTGAAATTAAAGAGAAAGGTGATTCTTATTCATATTCTAGCTGTGATTCGATATCTAGTACGCATCATGCAGATGATTTTAATCTATCACAAATGAATATCAGCATGAATTACAGCCATGATGATTGTGCACCACAGAAATGTGTCAAACTACCCGATTCTATCACAGTTAAACGTTTGCACTCAACAGCCATTCATAATATCAGTCATTGATGTAGATGTAGTTTTTGTTTTGTTGTGTTTCTAATAGTAATAAAAGCTATTTTCTTGATTAACTAATTTCGAAACAATGAACTCGATTACAATAGAAAACATTATCATTAAAAAGCTATAAGAAAGAAGAACAAAAAATATCCTTTTCGGAAAGAGCAAGTTTATTCTTTCATGCTAAGTAGTTTTTCATCTGTTTCTCCATGACCTATAGTTCTCTTTGGTGACTGTTAACAAATGAAATCAATGGAATTCTCTGCCAATAGACAATATCGACGAGTTCTATTAGAGCAAATGTGGAAAAATACTCTAGTTGCCCAATACATGTCTTCTAATCAAAAATATGCTTATTGGATCATCAACTTGCTAATTTTTGTTGATCATACTTCAAACTGATATACCTACGTATATTCAGTCTTTTACGAGGCAGCAATAATAAAACTATAGATAAATAAAAGGATGTTTTCTGATTGGTGACGATAGTTAAATCTAGAATGATTCTTTCAAACGTTATCAATTGATTTAAACAAAGTTTTCTCAAGTTGATGAAATAAATAGCGTGACAAGAGGTTAGCACACTTTTGTTTTTATTTTATGATTTTTTTCAATCATTAAATTTCTCTCGGATCAATCAGTCTCTCTGCTACTTGTCACTTTATTTTGTTTTTTTTTGGTCTTGCTTATGATGAATAAAAAGGAAGAAGATATAGCCGAATTGGGAATGACTTCAAACGTTGCGTTTGTACATCCCAGATCAATGTATGTCGTAAACCCGTCAACTTGAAATCAATAAACGTACATATGTGTCGGTATGAACTCTTATATGATTACATTAGCACTCGTATATACTTATTTTCTCCCTTGAGATGCCTAATGACTTGAAAACTCAGATTGATTGAGTACAGTGAACGACATTGTGTAAGAAGAAACAAAAAGATTCAAATCAGCAGTCAAGTGTAAACCAGAACAATCAATGATACATTTTTGTTATTCAATTTTTCTTTCTTTCTTTTTTGCTACTTTCTGTTATTGTTTAATGATATAAAACTACTGCGAGGAAAACGGATAATAATTTAGACGAATCAGAAACGAATGATGTTCCACGTCCAACCATTCAGCAAAGCGAATGTCGTTTTCTTTTTTTCTTCTCTATCTATTTCCTCATATGAAGGCGGCAAGCGAGTGATGACAGGCATCCCATGTTGAATCTATTGAAAGATCAAACGAGAGGGAAAAGAGAAACAGATAGACAGACAAGAAGAAGAAAAAAACCGTAGAAAGAGAGCAAAAGAAATGTTTCCGTCATCTTTCAACAAAATATCAGTCGTGTGATCGAGTAGTGCATCGATTATTTTAGAATAAAAAAAAAGAAAAGAAAAAGATATGGCCACTACTCAATCAATTGTTCCTATTTCAAAATATGACGTTGATGATCGTATTGATGACTACTTTGCTCAATCAACCGAAGACGATTTTCAACAACAAACATTTATTTATCCTGAACAACAAAAAATGAAGTCAACAACTGCAAATAAAAGTAAAGCACGAAAAAATAAACGATCAGGTAAATGAAACTTTGCATTTTGATCTTCTCAATAAAGAATTGATTTCTATATGTTCGTTGATACGGAAAAACGATTTTTAATCATAGATAAAGGCAAGCAACAAAAAAAAAGAAATCTATGAAAGAATCTGATTGCAATGCATCAACTGATTAAAAGAAATTTTATTTTGATCTCTAGGGAAGAGAGAGAGAGAGAGAGAGAGAGAAACAGATTCAAATCCCATTTAAAACTGAAAAGAAGACCTCTGTCTTTTTCAATACACTTAATAGACCATAGATTTGAAAACCATCTACACAATGTTTCTGTTTTCTACGATTTAACTAGAGTACTTAGTTGCGTTTTCTCAAGAAATTATTGATTTTATTGTAGAAAGAAAATGATTATCGAGTTATCGTTATCCATTCGTTAAAATCATCCTGCATGGCTAAGTCTTTTTTGTTGGCCTTTTTTTCTTCGATCAAACCATCGTAATATCATGTCATTTATTGTACGATAGATATACATATACACATTCTCTTCCGCCTGTCGACACCCTTCAAACAAAAGCCTATGAGTAGTAGTAGTTTGAATATATACGAGACAGACAGTTGTGTTTACTTTTGACCATAAACTACATATATAGACATCTTTATGTCGATTGATTGATTTTGTCCTGCTGTTCGAATGTGTCAATAAAAAAATTCTCTTCTTTCTTTATTTAATAGATAATCCACATGCACCTAAACGTATTCGAACAGCATATACAAATAAACAATTATTAGAATTAGAAAAAGAATTTCATTATTCAAAATATTTATGTCGACCAAGACGCGTTGAAATAGCATCAACGCTTTTACTTACTGAACGACAAGTCAAGGTAGGGAAAATTAAACACCTTAAAAAAGAAGAAGCTGAATGAAATTACCTGTTATTTTCTTCTTTTATTTTATAGGTTTGGTTTCAAAATCGGTATTTTGATTGTTATCTGTTTTGTTTTGTTGATCCAATAGTAGTTGATTTCTTTTTTTGTTCTCTAGTCGAATGAAATATAAGCGACAACTAATGCTGCAAGATCCAAAGTTAGCCGAAGAATTTGAAGCTAATGAAATTCATGAAGATGATGCAAGCTTAGATGAAGCCGATGCTGCAAGTCCAAAAACCATGGAACGTTTAGTACGGCCAAAACGTAAAGGAAAAATAAAAGAGAATAAATGCGCATCACATTCATGCAGTTCAATTAAAAATGATCCATGGTTATACAATCAACACGACATTGAATCATCAAAACTTCTAGAAAAAGTAACGTTTCATTTAAATCGCTAACAGTTTTTATTTACTCACTTTTTGTTTTCTCAGATAAATCCAATTGAAAAACTTGATTCATTGCCTGATCAACAAATTCAAGCATGTTCAACATCACCAAAAATGCCTAAAATCGAGCAAACATCAATAATTTCTATTGACGAATGGCCGCATCAACAACCATCATCAACTATGATAACACCACCGCCAACAATAACAACATCAAGTTGTGATTCGATCAATTGTTCATGTTGTGATTATGATGGGCAACTCTATCCATCATCGTCATCGTCATCATCATACAATTCTCATTATTATTCATCATCATCATCATCATCTCAACAAGCAACACCATCTCAACATATGACCGTAAATGTACCTGTTGTAGCTAATTTCCAAGTTAATGTTAATACAACACATCACGGATATCCATTAACGAATTCAAATAATAATCATCATCTTCATTATCATGTATCAAGAAAGCAAAATAATTATTATCAACAGCAGCAACAACAGCTACCTCCACCACCACCGATACAATCACAATCGCCATCACTTTCTTCATACTATCGTACTGGATATCCAAACTCTATGAAATATAATCAGCCACTACCACCACCACCACCACCACCACTGACATCAATATATCATCAACAACAATATTCTTCACCATCTCAAACATTTGTCGAAAATAATAGTCATTTTCCAATGTCACCATCTTATCATCATGATATGGCCTATGGTCATCGACAAGCCAATACAATTGCATATAATTCTTCGAATATGAATCATCAATTAAATGGACATATCTATCATCAGTTATAAAAAAAAAACACTTAAAATCAAAACAATGAATATTTTCTTCGTTTCTTTCTTTTTTTTCTTTCAACAAAAAATAGTGTTTTTGTGTGTATGTGTGTATCGATTTCAATTGAGAAAACACATTTTGTTTCTTTAATTTCTTTACATTCTATAAGAAACATTCAAGTAAAGTGTTTTCATTCGTTAGATTTTGTTGAAGACGAATTATAATAAAAAAATACATCGATGTCAATATTGTAATTTGCTAATTTTTTCATAAGGATATCCTTTTGTTTCTCTCTCTCTCTCTCTCTCTCTCCTTCATTTGCTTTTCTTTCTACTCTCTTTCATGTTTGTAGTTGATAGATAATTTTGACTCGTTCTACAACAAGAACGGAACGCATATGGTTTTGCCTAAGAAAGAATGCTATTGACAAAGCTAGGCTATTCTGGATGTTTCTTCTATTATGAATCTATGTATATCAAGAATAAAAAGTTTGCTTCATTCACATACAAACAGAATCTGAAGCAAAGAATTTTATTGGAAAACAAGATGGAATTATTCAAAACAACCAATGAATAACGAGATAAACGCTCTCAGTGTTAATATCCAGCTTCAGTCGAATTTATTTTACCTTTAAGCATTTGATAATTTGATCAAGATTATTATTTCATTGATTTTCAAGACTCAGGCCGATAATGACTTCAGAAAAATTCCTGTTAGATTTAATTGAATGAGCTTTAATGGATTTTACAATCATCATCAACGGAGCTGCTATGAAGCTGCCAACATTTCAGTACTAGGAAGTATTATTGAGGAGTACTAATAACAAAATACCGACGAATAATAAACATTTTGTAAGATTATGGAAAAACTCTTAGCCACAACTAATCGATATAGAACATTGAGGCTACGTGAAAGTATTTTTTAATAGATCTTGTTAAAATATTTTGTTGAATTTTTTTCAGTGGGTCAAATAGCGTCGTGTTGTTAAAAGCTTAAACATTGATGTATGCACGAACGGAGTAAATAGAATCCATTGATTTTTCAATGAAATGCAACCTATGAACCAGCAAGAAGATCTTATTCATTATTTTCTCAATCAGTTAAATGGATCCTGCAATTCAAATTTAGGTGACTAGTTTCTCATATCAGTCTCAACAAAAAATAATCAATGTTTCAACTGATACACCAACAAGACTGGAATAAATTCAGTTAAATTATAAGAAAAGCTTGGTAGACTTAACAATGAATTAATTACAATGAAGACTGCATGATTTCAAAAAATATATTGAAATCTGTAAATTTGATTCAAGTAGGCCAGCAACAGAATATGAATGCAAAAAAAATAAGATAGCTGCCATCATTTATATGTTCAGTCAATCAACTTTTAATAGTCGAATGTTGTTTGAAATCCATGACTTTTGAATGCAAGATTATTACAATGATAAATTTATGCAGAGCAGTTCACAAGTGGTGACTTTTTTTAAGGAACAAAGATTCAGCTTGAAATTCGACAAAAAATATTTCTCTACTAATTACATTGAGCTTTCTGGGTCTCGGCTTCAGTCCAACTTCGGACTCTATCTAGTGACAGAACAGCAGTAAAGTATTTCTTATTTCTTTTATTTAGATTAGAAAAATTCGTTCAAGTAGATTTTTAACTAAAAATAAAACACGTTGTTGACACATGAGAAACAAGAATGCTCAATATATATTCACGATAGAGGAATACCGTATAGCTATAGAGACTTACAGTAGCGTTAGCGTCAATGTATTCAACATAAAAACGTAATTATTTCTAATATTTGTATTATTAGTACTTCAATGGAGGTTTGTTTCGACGATGAACTTGATATTGATAGGAATGGAATAAAGAGACTCATGAGAAAGTCGATTTCCATTTTTTTTTAATCGGACACAACAGTTATCAGAAACATCTCGATTTTCATGGATACTTCTTAAATACTGTGAAAGTCAATTTAAAGAATAATCTATCGAAAACATACAACATGGAAGAATTTTCTTAGGCATTGCTACAACGGCTACCTACTGGTTGAGATAAGCTACATACAATTCGTAAATACACGAGCGCTATCAACAACATGAACAGTGTTCGCGAATGATGCGTGCACCCCAAGCAAAATCAAAGTGATTGTGTCACGCACTGTTTTTGATTTGCACGCCATTTTGCACTTCACTCGAAAAAGTAGAATGCACGTGATGCACTCTATCATAGAATTTTTCACTTTGTTTTATATGTTGATTTATATTGGTTGTTTTATCTTTTCAGTGAATTTTCTTATTTACTATGTTCTTTGCGTGAAGCGAATAGTTTTTTCTTATTATTATTTTAGATAATGATTCGACAAGCTGGTTTTGTGATGATTGCATTGATATGCATAGTGCAGAAGAAGATAGTGATTACGATGATAAATGAGTCAGTTATGTTTTTGTTCTCTCAAATGAGCAATAACGATTATTTGCCTTTTTGTTTTCTATTGTATTTATTGTTGGTGAACTAGAATGAATATCTATATGTACAGATAATCCTCATTACTGATTTATTTTTTTTGTTGATCTTGTGATTTCATGATGATTTGTATTTGGGTTTGTATTTTCTATTTTATTTGTAAACTTTGTGACTAAATGATGATTTACATATTGTTTTTGATTATTATTTATATGTATACATGCAAATAGAAGTCCAGAGTATGAAATATAAACTATTATTTCTTTTTTCTAGATATATTTATATATTTGCACTTTGCTGCACTTTGGTTCTTGAAACGGAGTGCAACATCTCAATTCGCCTGCTGAGAAAGAGTGCGGGATCTCACTATATTTTGAATTCTCATCCGGAACACTGAATATGAGTTACGTTGACACTGCTGCCAGTGTATGTAAAAATTGTATCTAGCTTATCTCGACCCTACCTACTAGTGACATTTGACAATGATTGGTTAAGTTCATGTTCAAATCGGCATAACCTATGATTCATCCATCATTCAATTGATAATTTCTCTTTGTGTCTTGAATGAAAAATGAATGAACAAAATCTAGAACAAGACAGGAAGATTGAATCTTCAATGTCAATATCATCAAATGATTTAATTCCGACAATTTATGATGTCAGTCGAGCTATTTTTCGTCATTTACCTATTCGTTCAGTGGATTCATGTTCGTTAGTTTGTCAATCATGGACTCCTATTGCTCGTTTAACTAAAGAACATCGTCATACAATTCATACATTATCGTATCCATCAGATCTCTCAACTTCAACAAGTCAAAATTCTTATGATTTATCTGATTTTGACACATACATTTCGTCATATATAAGTAATAATCTTTGGTCATTACCATCGTTGGCATTAGTCGTTACAACGAAAAGTTTAGATAGAAAATGTTTTATTTCATTATCAAGTTCGTCACCAACAACAAAACATTCAAAACGAACTCGATCACAAACTACAGCTAGACAAACCAAAATGTTAAACATATCACAAGCATTGATTCGTCATTTAAATAGATCATGCAAAATTTTACAAACAGTATCAACCGGTGTTGTTGTCACAAGTGATGAAAATCAATCGTACGAAATTGAAATAGGTACAAAAATAACTTCTTAACTAAATGCATTCGAATTCTTATATTAAATCTTTCTTTTTGTAGACAATGCCATGGGGATTCTATTTTTGCCAAGATTTCCATCGAATATTTTTGGAATATATCCATTTGAAATTAAATATAATACAAAAATATCTGATAGTATGTCTCGCTCAGATTTACATCATTTACTTGGTGGTGTTCCTGATGATATACCAATTCGATGTGTTATCTTTTTCTTTACTGGACGTCAGTCACATAGTGTTGACTGTATTAAAAAACTACTTGAGTTTTACTCAACAGACGTCGCTATTATTGGTGGTGTTGTGAATAAAATTCGTTATGATGACCGAGAAAATCAACAAAAACCATTGGTATATAATACATGTGGCCTTGTTTTAACAGGCGATCCAAAACATTTAAATATTAAACAAATTCTATTAAGAAGTCATATAAATACCCGTGAAGCTGTCCAAGAAAAATTAAAACAATTAAAATCGATTGAAAACAATGAATGCTTATCATTTGGTATACAAGTTAGTTGTGTCGCTCGTGGTGAAGCAGTTTACAATGGAGAAAAAAATGTTGAATGTTCAGAATTTCGAAGTCTATTTCCTAAGATACCGTTAATTGGAATTTTTGGAAATGGAGAAATCGGTCATGATTATTTATTAAATGATACTGAAGCATCACAAAAAGAACGAGCAAGTACCAAAAAAATAGCAATCAATGATGTATTTCATACCTATTCAACTATATTTTCGCTTATTTCATTGCGCATGTGAATTATATTTTTAGAAAAAAGTGAAGTTTGTTTTTTTCTTTGTAAATACAATGACATACTAAATGATTTAGAGAGGTAGAATATTTTTATTCTCAGACAATTATTTGAAGAATACTTCTATTGATTGTTCATCAGTTCACCGAGTATATCTAATTTTCATTATATATGTAATCCTTTCACGCGCCTACTTAGTGTTTCTCAAGATAGTTGTTTTCTCTATGAAATCTCTCCTATTCTAATATTGATAATAACCAAAAATAACTTGGCAAATCAAATGAACTAAAACAGAATGAGTATGCATTCTCTAACGGAATCTCAATTGTTGCAAGATTTATTGCTAATGCTGAAGTATCTTGACACAAAATACATCAGATAACAAAAACAGTAATATTGTTATAGTTTTCACTTAAATAAAATCGTTCCTGATATCCATATAAACGAGAACATGATGTAAACTAAATAATTGTAGAAAAACATGTAGCACACATCAAAGTCACATCATTAATAAATTCTTATGTCAATTTTCCTCCAGTCGACAGATATAATTGCTCGATCGTTTACTTATCATATTGAACTTTGGTATTTGCACATTAACAACAAATATCGGTAATCATGAAATTTCTCTAACAGAACTAGTGTACTGCACAGGAGTCCGAAACCCGATTCCGACTCCGACTCCGACGGAGTCGGAGTCGGAATCGGAATCAAAAGAAAAAAAATTTAGGAGTCGGAGTCGGAATCAAAAATGGTACCTGACTCCGAAAATTCGATTTCTACTGTGACGAAGCTAAAGTAGTACAAAATAAAATAAATTTTTTGTGAGTTAACGTTTGAGCTATATTACAACAAAAATCACACCATCTGACTTTCACTTAAATAGAAGTTTATTCATGAGTATATTGTATAATAAACAAAGATATGCTAATTTTAACTTTATAAATTAATCTTAAGCAAAAAAATGTCACAAGAAAAATATTAACATTAACCATTAGTATAAATAAAAAATAAAATAGACTAATCAAGAATATTCTCTTTATTATAATCATTGAAAGTATCGTCGACATCGATACATAGTTGTTTAGGAGCTGTGCAGGTTGATTCTTCAGAAGATACTGTTGTTGTCGATAATATCGATGATATTCGTTCCTTATTAATTCGTTTACTTATATATCCTTTCAGAATATCAAACATTTGATATGAATTAGATGTCACTAAGCTGCAAAAAAAAGTCGGGTTTTTCCGGAGTCGGAATCGGATTCCGGAAAAATTTCTCGCCGGAGTCGGAGTTGGAATCGGAATCGAAAAAATTTTGTTTTCGGAATCGGGTCGGGTTTAGGAATCAAAAAGTGCGACTCCGCTGATCTCTACCAGCAGGACAGGTAAGAACAGGACAAAAACTCTTGTCCTGTGCACGTCTCTGATTTGAAAATGATATCAAATAGATTATTTCTAAAATTACTAATAGTAATGTTTATTTTGACCAACAATAGCTAGTGTTCGGACTCCTAATTAGTCTTCAGTCACTAGCAAAACCGGAAGAAAAGAGTAACACTAACCGGGATACGGCTTTAACGTATTGTTCTGTCGCCCGCCAGGACACAACAAGTCAGCAGTACAAGCCAGGACAGGATGAGATTTCGTTTTTTGTTCTGTCCTGACGCCCGCCAGAACCAAAGTAGCCAGCAGGGCAGGTAAGAACAGGACAAAAAATCTTGTCCTGTGCACGTCTCTGATAGGAACTTTACTGTTTTGCAGAAGCAATGATCGGCATGAAGAATAGTCAAAAATTGAAGGCGAGTTTAACTCAATCCAGTTCGTATGTGAATTATTGTAAAGAGATCGCCTCCAAATACGATCATGATTCAATTTCCAGTGGCCTCATTCGCCCTGATCGGTAGTTACAATGCTATTCCACAAGAAAATGTTTACTATATCGATCAATTAAAGCAAATGGAAGTAGCATATTTTCACATGTATGTGTGATCACAACTCCGGAGCATGAAATGAATATTTTCTTTTCAGATAAGTTCTTCCCTGCGAACATGAGTATTATTGATGTATTATAATCAACCACTTTCATTTAATTTCATGAGCTTCGATGATTTTTAAATCCAAGAGAACTAAATGAAAAATCGCAATTATTTACATCAAAACTAATATTCAACTGGATCCAGCACACTAACTCATTTGTTTATATGCATTTGAGAACTAGAGATGATGTAGTTTACTCTTCAAAAAACTAGATTCTATAATCACGGTTCCGATATAGCGAAGTAATGAATGAAGAAAATTCCATTGATAAACATACATTTTCTTTTTCGATTTATTGCTTTCTGTTTATTGTAATAAGAATGAAAAAAAAATATATATACTGAAGTTTAAACTTCTCTTTCTATTGTACCAAATACGAAATAAGAAAAAAAAATATCACACATTGACGTATAGAAAATGATAAATTCAATTTTAAGCAGTTCCAGTAAGCAAATATAATGCTAATTCACAATTCAGCCCAAGATTAACAGCATAACGAATTAATTTGGCCGGACTTGTCGTATCTAAATCGAAATAGATATATGAATTTATTGTTTCTATGATAATAATGAAAGAAGATATGCCATCTCAATCGATCCAACATCTAATGAACCTCTGTCTCAAGTACTTCAATACCAATAATTATTACCTAGAAGAGATAATAAATTTTCTTCATTTAATCCCGGTAACCATTCTCGAATAGGTAATAATAAGCCGAATCTTCTTGAATCATATTGATTTTTTAAAGCAACAAGTAAATCCACTTTCATTTCTAAAAATACACCATAAAATTAAAGAGTATGAAATAAAAAATTTTCATTACTTGATATATTTTTGAAAAGTATATTTGTAAATTGTGTACGTAAAATAACATCATCGGTATCAGTTGATGTAGGTAATTTTTTAATCGATGTATATTTCTCATAGAATGATATCAATGCATGCATTTCTTTAACGTGACGGTTGTTTATTGGTTCATTTATAATACGTTGTATACCAGAATAGAGTTGTAATGCATGAAACCATGTACGTAATGATGATTCATTACTTGATAGGAGTTGTACAAGTGATGATGAAGTCTTTTTTAATGTTAATGATGATAATATTGAAGATTTTTGAACATAAAATAGGCCATCACGACTTAACATTTGTTTTAAACGTTGAATTTGTTCATCATCTTCATAGATAATTGGCCAATAATTTGAATCATTCATTTCAAGTTTTTGTATTGAAATAAAATTTGGTAGAAAGCATGGTGTATGAAAATTTTTCATTTGTATTTGATTATTTTCATTCACCCATAAACGACCATTTAGGGAGCATACTTGCTGATTTGAGACGTCTTTTGTAATCATTAAACGTGATTCACAAACCATAACATATAAATGACGAAATATTTGTAAATGAAAACTAAATCAATAGATAAATGTTTTAATTCAAAGGCGACTATAGTTTTTCAAGAAAGTTTCGAAAATTTATTTCTTCGTGAATTTCGACTAAGAAAGTTATTGTTATCTTTGGTTTTTCTTACCGATTATCGTTACTACTCATTGGAAAATGAGGATAAAAAGCAGCTAGAAGAATTGGTATAGCATCATCATCATTTCGTAAGCCATATCTAATAGAGAGAGAGAAAAAAAATATATATCTGAATATTCCCAAAAACAAATCGAACCTTCCGCCACCAAGTAATAATAAACCTAATGACATGCTTACAGAAACATGTGAACCATATGTAACATGTGCACGATCAGGTCCAACTCTTGTTTGTAATGCTCTTAAAAGATTCAATAATGGTAAATCACCACTACCAGCCATGACCTAACACAAAAAAAGAGAAAAAAAACTACACATTAAAACCAAATCAAATTGGACACAAAATATTTTTTATCACCATTGCAAGTGAAAGTACAAGTGTTGATAAAACAAATTCAAGTGTCATTGTATCTGGTGCATAACTGTCCGGATCGCTTTCAACATAATCTGCTGGACGATCAATATAAACTTGAAATCGTTTAAAATAACCTCTCTATAAAAATATAATAAACATGAATAGATAATTTGATTTTGTGTAAAGATTTTTAATAGGAGCAACCACTTACAATAATATTTGCTGTTTCTTCATTCCATGTTCCAGCATATTTCAATGCTAAACTGAAGCATACACCAGAAACAAGATAACCGTATGCTTGTGTTATTGATTCCGAATCAAATGTATTCACAGATATTTTTACATGAAATGCGTTTTTACTTAAATCCGTTGGAATTTGTTTTTCTATCCATTCATGTGTGTTGGTTATACTTTCCCATGAGATTAAATTGTAAACAACAGTCTTAACAAAGAAATAAAATTAGGAAACAGCTATTGTACATATTCGCTGATCTTACTCGTAGGAGAAGAAGATCGGGACGAACTAATTCTATCAATCTCATGATATCATTGGGCGTAAACCATTCAGCTATGTCTCTAAAAAGAAAATATTATTTTATTTTAATTATTAAGAAAATTACAAAAGCAGCTCTTGATGAATGCAGGACAAGTTTTCTATCCTAAATCTACATCGACGAGGATACCCAGCAAAACGTTAATGCTATATATATATGTGTATACTGTATATAATGGCATAGGAATCTTTTTGTTGCAAAATTTAAGAGCAGTGAAACTAGAGGTATTAAAAAAAAATGAAACTCAACAATAGAACTGAGAAAAAATAAATAGCTCAATGCGATTTCGATTGAAATAAGCATTGACTGGAAACTAACTTATTTTTTGTATTAAAATAAGTAAGACCGATTGCAATCATAGCACCCGTCGCTGTTATATTAGCATTCATTGAACCATATTCATGTACTTGTATATGTGTTCGAAGTGATCCAAATGCATAAACACGTTCTTTTCCAATAATATAACTTAAAAGAGCACTTGTAAAAAAATCTTCTTTTGAATTTATACTATTAAGTCCTTTCTAA